GCTTGCTGGCTGGCTTGCTTGCTTGCTGGCTTGCTTGCTGGCTTGATTGCTAACTCCTGACACTAACCCTGCGATTGACACAGGCCGATGATTGAAACTGGGATTGCTGGACGCAGCTGGGATCCCATCCTGAGCCCTGGACAGGCAAACGTCCGCCCACACCGTAACTGGCAGTCCTGCGGCGTTGCCTGCAAGTGGGCTGGTCACTGACGACCTATACTAAGATTTAATATGATGATCCACTACAGTGATTATGCCGCATAGTGTACATTAACATAAAATGACATCATATACTGTGTTGTACTTCGGACTGCACTCCGAATCCGGGCCGGGTGCCTCAGAGCTTTGTACCACTGGGGGGACGAAGCCCCGTTTGCGCCCGAGTAATTACCTTATGATGCTCTTGAGCCCATCTTCACGGGAGGACCCCCCCGAGTCCCAAACAGAAAATACTTTCTCCACAAGAGAGAAACCCTGCCGGGGGTGACGCAAAGCAGCGAACGAGCAACAAGTCCATAACAGCCACTGGACAAAACAGACCTTTGTCAACAACAATCAATACCATGAGCTCACACAAGTAGCGGCACAACACGCTGCAAAGATGGTGCTACTGCAGACCTGCAATACTGCCGGGTTCTTCATGGATACGAGCATCTGCGAGACGTCAAGGTGCCCCGCCACCAGCCTCCACCGTGCGGGTTGATCCCTCAAGCTTGTGCGGGCCCGCGTAAAACATTCCACGCCTCGGTGCTGCTTTTTGTTGCTAGGGTTTCGGCTTCGAGGGGGGCTGCTGTAGGGCTGGGTCGTGTGCCCCAAGCACGGATGGGAAGTCTACCACATTAGGCCAGCAGCAGCAGCAGTAAGCAGCAAGAGTGCAAGCATCTATGATGTCCCTGGGATTCAGAAATTGTGGAACAAACGCGGCCTCCTAACTGGGCGTTTGCAAGAGATGCCTGATGTTGATGGCGGGGGTCCTTTGTGCGTATCAAATACAGACAAGAAGCTTGAAGCAGCCATCTGGAATGCCGTCCAAACCGACAAGGCTCTCTGCCTGTCAAAGTCGCGAACTCGGTGCCATCACTTTGCAACTGCAAGCTCACCTTGCAAGCACTATGTGCAACATCTAAGTAGAGGCAACATCCACATACATCCACCCTACAAAAGTGGCAAGGCGGGCACGGTCGGTCTATGCGAGGGGAATCGAGGCACCGCTGTGGTTTTGCAAATCTGCAAGTCACACGGTGCTCGCTTCCTCAGCATCGGCCCGCCTCGCTGAACCAAAGCAACTTCCTGTTCAATTTCGCAAAACTTGCTCTACAGACTCTAGTGAGCCCCAGAAACTTGGAACAAGGAGTTAGGATGCTTGAGGGCATGAAGATAAATATGTTCCAGCTTTCTGGCTTCCACCGTTAGGATCCGTGACCCACTGCACCCACATAGGCACATGCACACGCACAAAAGCAGACTGATAGACAGGTTTATAAAATGGATACGAACAAGATCGAACAAGCATGACTAGAACAGAAAATAAGTAAGTGAACATTCCGAAAAAAGTGTAGTGCAACCTTGGCCGTCCTAGCCAGTACTTGGGGAGAGCACGTACTCCTGAATACGGCCAGTGCTTGGAGGAAGCCTTGTGGCCGCGCTCTTGAAAGACTCCGCAAGAACTTGGGTTTGTCTCCTGGGTCTCTTGTCCTGGTCTAGGTCGTGATCATTGCTGGTCCTCGTGGTCGTGGGTGTCTTGAAGCTCCACCAGTCACACGTCGTAGCTGGTGAGGCCACGTTGTGTTTTTACTCCGGAAGACAACCCTCCAGCTACAAAACCTGTTAAAGAAATCACCAGATTGACGCGCGCGTCCTCCTCTTCCCGGCCACCACTGCAGAAAGTGCAGCAGCACCAAGCAGGGCAAATACGGCCACACGACGAAAGCAGCAGGACCTCGGATGGCGAGCGTGCGAAACTCACCTTGGCACAGGCTTTCTGCAGAGCCTCGGGGCCTTGAGCTTCGGCCGTAAGTCTTCCAAACTGACGATCTAAGCCCTTAAAGTATCCCCGGTGTTTTGAGCACACTAACCCCTGTACAAACCCTAAACCTTTTGAGTATCAGTATGGTCTCTAGAGAGAATCCCCTTATTCCATAAGCCAAGAGGCAGTCTCGGCCCGGCTTGGGGTGTCAACCCCCCCTGCTCAAGCAGGGCCTCGACGTCTGGAGGCCTCACGGAGCGGAGGAATTCCTATAAGGGAGCCTATAAGGGTTCCCATGAAAGACCCAAGAAGGGAGCCTATAAGGGCTCCCATAAGGGATCCTATATAAGGGAGCCCAAGGGATCCGATAAGGGTTCCCATAAGAGATCCTATAAGGGCTCCAGTAAGGGATCCAGAGTTTGCAGGCTTGGACTTTTTCGCAGATTTGTTTTGTTCCGAGTTCCGACGGTAATTGTGGTTACATCTAATCTTCCGAAGAGTGGCCAAATGAGGAGTCATTGAGGGCGGTGCTAAACAAGATGCAGGGATCAGGGTTCTTCCGATCTGAACCTTCTGTAAACCGTACGTTACAAGTATACTCCTACGTTGGAATTCCCAAGAACCCATACCGATAGACTTTTGCACCGAAGGTCGAACCCCAAATGCTGTGGGTTTACTCCCCGGGTCCCAGCATTCGTGCTTTCTTCTTTGAGAGCCCCGACGCCGTGAGCTCCAAAGTCTACCCCCTACAGAGATGTCACAGACCATCAGCACTGGACTCTTGACTGCATGGCATTCTCTTGGGTTTAGGGTCTTATCTAGAGACTCTTTGAGGCCAGGGCTTACCCTCAAACCGACACCCCAAAACAGAAAAGCGCGGCAAGTCCCAAGAGCAGGGGGAAACCATTACATCTTCCAGCCTGTGCTGAAAACCCTAAACTCCAAGAAAATCCCCTAAAGCCTCCCTAACCCCTGAACCCTAAATGAAGCCCCGAAAAACCTGCCTTGAGCTTGCCATGCACAGCTGGCCCACAGCAAGGCTCGGCTCGGAAACTCTGACAACTAAGACACGGTTTGGGGAGTTTAGGCTTGTAGGGCTTTATAGGGTTATAATAATTCTAGAGCTGAAGTAGGTTATAATAGTTCTAGAGCTGAAGTAGGGCTTCCGTGCTCACACTCGTGAAGTAGGGTTTAGGGTTTATAGGGTTCGCAGGCGGAGGTTCTGAGTTTGGCGCTGCTATGGGTACTATGGGTTGCGGTGCTCTGAGGTTGTAGGCTTGGTTTTTGCAGCGTGGCCAATCACCGCTCTTCATGCGCAAAGGTCGCTAGAAATTGCTTCCCTGCTACATGAGAGCCAACAAAAAGCTGCCGGTGGGCCGGGAATGAGACGACAGGGAGCTCCGAGACGCCAGCTGAGTCTTATCGGTGTACAATGACGGGACCGGACGAGGATCTGCTTCCACCAGGCGCAGATGGTTGAAAGTAGGAACCTCTTGAAACCGCGGCTTTTGCTCTCGACCCCTTACTTTTTACAGCATTGCAGAAGCTCCTTCAGGCTGACCAGTAGACAAGGTCGCTGCAATGCGTGTTCAAGAATTGGAACTCGTCGGTGTCAGGCTGATTCGGGCATTGTCTAGAGTCTATAGAGGCTGCCGCTGAAGTCCTGCTTGTGTTGCTGGCTCTCTGGCCCATCATACATACGCTTGCATGTACGTGTTGCTACATATGTGTGTACACGCATGTAATTGTATGTCTGTATGCATGCATGTAGTTACGTATGTGCTTACGTATGTATGCATGCACGGATGGATGTATGTTTGCGTGTACACATCCAAACTGTATGTATATACACGTAAGTACGCCTGCACGAACATGCCGACACCGACACAGCGCGCAGACAGGGGCACTTGAACCCGAGTCAACGCAGAAACTTTGGTACTGTACAGATGCTGACTTTGAACATCGCGGTCATTTTACATGCGGCAGCCTGCTTTGCAGTCACGATTGTGGCCGGGTAGATAGGTAGATATACCGAAATATATTACAAGTGCTGGTATGGGTCACTTCTCCGACCCATCTGTCGATCCAGATTCGGACTCCGCACTGGTGGTCTCACCATTCACGAGGATCTGGCCTTCGGGGCTTGGCGACTGGAAGCTAAATCCTTTAACTAAGGGCTAGTGAAGCAGCTGTTCTTTGGCTGCTTGTCGGTAGAGTGGTCAGAAACTCGGTATGCAGGCAAGCAAGAAGAAAGAACCAACGACGAACTGCACAGGAGGATCCTTAAACAGCCAAACGGTCGCAACAAAAGATCCCGGATGTCCTTCAGAGGTGTACTTCATCAGGTCCTGCAGAACACACATGCTTCAGGCTGTCTTCGTCGGCAAACTGCAGATTGCAGCAACCGGGAAAAGCACTCAACCAACCAGCTCCACAAACTCAGAAATCCACAGGGTTCATCCAAGCAAGTGCCACAGCGACCACAATTGTGAAGAAACCAAGTACGTAGACAAAGACAGAACATGCGACAAACGGCAAGACGGACAGAGCAGAATCACTGGAAGCAAGTCCTGCGAGACTGATCCCCTGTGCTTGGAGTGGTCTTCCTTACAGCGCAACAAGCAGCCTTAAGCCATCAACTGGGCGTAAACGCCAAGAAGAAGCACGTATTAGCAAGCATCACCATTCAGTTGTAAATATTTTCAATCAAGGCAATCTATCTTCACTTAGTCAGTGACTTAGTCTGACGAGCAATGATGTTCAAATCGGGGTATATGCTACATCCCAAAACCCTAGACCAAAAACACTGCAACCCTTCTGCTGCAGGCTTGCAAGCAAGAACGCCTGGTAGTTAGCCACTCGTCCGCCGACTAACACTGTACTCGTGACAGCGCTTCCAGCTTCCGAGCATGCGACCCTGAACTCCCAACCATCCTCACCTCCCGCCAACTGAATCAGAAATCAGCGACCCGGTTGATGCAACATAGACCAGGAATAACGGAAAATCCTTAGGCATCTACGAACCACAAGCCCTAGAATCTGCTGAGCAGTTTTCGCTACAAACATCTCCAAACCGCCCAAACCCTGAAGCTTGAACCCAAGGGTCCAAAACCCATGCAGCCCTGTGGCACTCATCAGCATCCGCTGGAGGAGGACTTCGCGGCTGCCTGCCAGGAATGTTCACAAACGAGCCCTAGCAATTTGGACAGGGTGCTTAGGGGTCTGTTATAGTAGACAAATAGTTGTAGCAGGACCACGATAAGAGCATGCCGTTGCTGATTTTTCCCTCCAAAAGTGCGCGAACACTATGACACCATGGCGTACAACCTGCAGAGAAATGATAGCCATCCCAGCGGCACGCCTCGAAAAGAGGCTCCCCGCGGCGCGCATCCGATTATTCAGAAAAAAGACCCCCCGCGCCCAATGTACTAGTTGCAAGGATGCTCGTGTCGCTCGTCTCGCGCTGCAGTGCCATAGTTTGCGCTGACGTCCTATTATTATTTGCGGAGTCTGCTGGTCGGACCAAGGGCGTGCAAGGGCCGACGGCATGCAACCAAGTATAGAACGCACCAATACTCGGAGGAAAAGCACTTTCGCGCTGGTCCTTGAGCCGCTAGTGCTCGGGGCGACTCCGGCGCACTTTTGAATCCTCCTGAATCCCGCCAGTACTTGGGAAAACCATTCGGGACGTCGTCCTTGCGTCAACACGCATTTTGGCAGTGCTCTCATGGTCTCCATGGTCTTCTGAATAGCATGGTCGGTAGCACGCGGAATGCGACCTCGAGGCTCCCGGAGCTCGGGGGCCTCCAAACTGGCCGTTTCGAGTACAAATTGTAGTACATACGTAGAGCACGGAATGCTTGCGAGAGCGGGTGGAAATGCTGGAGAATGCCGGTGGTCGATGACTGCGCTGTTAGCAAACCACCGGCCTGGCGGTCGCCCTGATGGCATGCTTGAATTATGGTATTTCACTGCTTGGGGATCTCCGCCAGAATAATTATTGAATATAGTGCTAGACGCATCTCAGGTTGTGCGGAGTTTGGGGTTGCCACCCTCGTGGTACAGCAGTCCAACGCCTGGGGTGGCTTATTGGGATTCTTCTGAATCCTTCAGGGTCCAAGGGACCGAACAATTAGCTATTTAGGTTTCGGATAGTAGTTATGCAGGTTACTATTTGGGAGAGTACATGATCATTAGGTACTCGGACCCTTTGGGGAATGACTTCAATGGGGAACAGCCTCAATCGCTGTGCAGGGTTCGTGGCAGGGAACGGGTAAGTTTTGCGGTCAGAAATTGCGAATGTGACAGCTCTTAAGAGGACAACAAAACCTGGAAAGCAGCACAAACCCTCGTAAAGCAACGAAACTTCCACAAACTCCAAACCCTACAGATTGCCGGAAAAACCTGTCCCGAAACCTCCCAAGACCTAGCATCTATAGTTTCACCTGCATCAAAGCCTTCCAAACATGAAACCCGGTGCATGCCTGGCAGCTGCTGGGCATCTTCCAGGGTCAGGTCTAACTCGATGGGTTCATGGAGCTCCTGTGGATCTGAGAAGGCTGTTCGGTTAGGGTCTGCGGTCTTGGAGTTTAGGGCATCGCAGACGCGAGCAAAGGGCCAATCTGAGGAGCGTTCGACTCTTCAGTCAGCTTCTGTCCTCACGCACGGCTTGGGAGGACTCCAAGATCAACGCAATCAGAATGTTGAGGACAATGAGGTTGACTATCACCTGAGCTCTTGCAAGAAGGATGCTACCGACACCAAACAGGCTGTACTTGTTGGCCTTTGATTTGATTGTTGCAGGCAGTTCTTAGAAACTACATGTTCCAGCAACAGCCACGGGTACGCCCCTCATCTTGCCAGGGCAGAACAACTGTTCGGACCCCCCCCTTTCGGAAGCATAAGGTCCTCTGGTCGACGGCTTATGCCGGCTGGGATGTCGGAGAGCCGCGCCACAACCCGAAAACCAAAATGCATGCCGGAAGGCATTGTGGAATCAGGTCAGGCCTTCTTTATTTGCAGCAAGTGGCAAAAAAGCAGATGAAGAAAATCGCAGAATATTCCGTCGTCACCAGGATGCAAGCGCCAGCTATCACCTCGAGTGCGAGCAGACGGGGTCTCATGCCGCATGTGGGGCCACACATGAAAGACCCCACCTCCAACACAAACATCGTGTCTCCCAACGCTCCAATCGACAGGGGACAGAGTGAACAGCATTTGCTGCAGGTCAGTGGGCTCGTCAGCAAGCCACTTGCTCACCAAGGGCTCAAACCCTTGGCATGTTCAGTTGCAAGTAATCGATTCGTATTGCGAACGGAATGAATACAGAAATAGAATAAATCAGCTGAAGCAGCCCTTATGACATCCTCATGAACCTGGGAGTCCTTGAGACAGCTACACTTGATAAACGATCCGGACTGCAGAACAGTCACGAACCAGTTGTTGACCATCATGATGGAGAACAGCGTGACAAAACCTGCATCGGAAATGTGCACACAGCGACAGTTAGTTGCGCACAGAAGACCGCTGGCCATGAAGCGCCTGAGGGGATGTCATTGAAGTTCAAGGCCCAGTAATGAGATGCGGCGAAAAAAGAGTCTTGCAGCCTGGGCAGGTGCGGTTCCGCATGATAGGATGAGCAAGCACCACAGATTCCACGTCACCTCCATATAGATGGCTCGGCCTAGCACAACAGTCTCCCACCCTGTAAAAAACTCCATGACCAGTGGCTTGAAACCAAATGAAGCCAACACCATGGCCTACATCTTGCTTAATTAGCGCCTGGCCAGTCGCGCTCTACAACCCCGTGCCAAATCAGTCTCATTCACTCCCCCAAAACTGTGACTGCCCAAATCGAAGATGCTTTGCAGCTGTCGCAAGACGCATGTCTGGGCAACTCCTGTACAGAGATACAATAGTTCCAGGGTGGACTTACGGCTGCTGCAGACGTTTGGGTAGAGGATTGCAAGCAGCACAGCGAAGTCTCTGCCAAGGTTCCGTGGATTCCCCTTGTAGAGCCTTCCTCCAAAGAGAGGCTCCTAAGACCAGATCCAGGGCATTGGCATGCTCTTGCAAAACACCAACCACTGCAGCCCTCTGGTTATCGAATGATATCGACAGGCCGCGAAAATTGAATTTCAGTTGTCGCGGGAAGCTGAAGCTGCCAAATCAAACGGCTTGATGCCTTTGGCCAGTCGTGCGGCCGGGTTGCACCAATGGTGGCGAAAATATAGAACCTTAGCTCCTCCTCAACAGTCACAACGGACCATCATCAAAACCCCCGCCGACCAGCACTACCACCACTAGGACTGATCGGAACACGCACAAACACACACTTGAACTTGTCAATGTTGGCAGTTGGCAGGTAGCGACAGTGAAAGCTTTGCTGTTATAGTCAAGTTATAATCACATTGAGTCACATGGTAATTTCGACCCCATGAACTGTGAACTTTTTGAAATACTTGCAGGCAAGCGAAAGTGAAATGCTGTGCATGCTTCCAAGACGGTCCCAACAACAATTTCATGTAGTTTGGGCCCTCGCATCAGGACATGAAGCCGTGGGATCCGATGCTCTTCCACAGCCCTGCCCTGTTGGCAGCCACAAACATCCGAAACCCGACAAAAGAACCGCAAACAGAGTTGCACTACTAACCCGATGAAGAATCGATTAGAGCAGGAAGAAGTTCCAACAAACTCATCGAAGCTGCGTGGCAAACTCCGGACAAATCTGTTTATTTCCTCAACGAGCACCGCGAACACACCGTCATGCGCAATGTACCGCATTGTTCACACTTAACCTGATCGGCTGACGGTGGGATGTGACGAGGTGCGTGCTCAGCAGAACCATGCCCAAGCGCGAGTATAAAGGCAGTAAGCGCACCACCTGTCAGGGCTTGCGACATAATGTGGACATGAGCAAGTCCAATAACGACTGGCGTGATCTGTGGCATGATTCGATTGTTCGAAACTACATGTCGTTCCCCAAAATGATTCCTTTGAACTTGCTGGCATTGCTCACCACTTCTGTTGCAGAAAGCAACGTCGAAGGGCCCGTGCTAGAATCTTTAGCATAACGGCCATATCTCGTTGCATCATAAGGGCTTCAGAGCATCACGCCCTGATGGCATGGATATGCGGTGGCAAGGTTGCAGCATGTTTCAGAAAAAGGCTTCTTGGACATGTATTATATTACTTGCATGCATGCACCCATGAAGTTGTATGCTCTTTCTTTGGTGGGGCCGTAGCAGGCTGCGCAGTTACACCAAGCATAAGCCCTTATGCGTCTCTTTGTGTTGCCCCCACGTAGTTGCTGTTTTAGGCTCAGGCTTGCCAATCTGCGAAAGGCAATGCCTGGGTCTTCACATGCCTCCATTGCGGCTTGGGGCCCAATTTAAACTCCACTCGGCCTTTCCATTCTTTCGGGTCACTGGGCCGGGTGCTGGCCAAGGTCAAGAAATTCCTATCCTTGATAGTGACAGCCGAATCCTCATCGTACATCTTGTATGTCACTCATTCGCTAATCAATCGGGACATCCGTGCTGGCAAAGTCTTGGAGGCTTCGATACGAGGATCGAGCATGCCCTCTCACTGTTTTGACGTGCCCGGCAAATTTCAGCTGTGGCACATTCACCTCCCACACGTCATACGTGCAGCCGTGCAACCCATGAGCAATCTTGATGCCCTGTGCCGCACCAATCAGGGCACCAATCTCCTGAAGATACTCAAACGAGCTGTCATGCAAATTCGACACGAGCAAACTTCCAAAGCACCAAGCTGTTGCTCCGTTCCCGACAACACATCAGTCAAACAACTCGCTGCCAATCTCGCGCAGGTGTCAGCTACAACCAATGTACCGTACAATCGGAAGAGGGTTCCAATCAAATCAAGCAAGGCAAGAAAGTCTCAAGCCCATCATCTCGCGAACCTATCCACTCATGACTGCAATCACGATTACCTCCATGAAGACCAATCATCGTCCTGATTCCACTCTCCTTGATGAATCTCCTGTTGATTATCATCATCGGCCACTGCCGACATTTTCCCGTAGCGCGCTCTACTCCAGCTCGTGTCACCACAAGCAAAACAACCTCGTCCCTCAGAGGCTCGTGTCTCCACAAACAAAACAACCTCGTCCCAAATAGTGTCCTTGATTCCTTTTCCTTGTCCTCTCATTCCTTTGCATCCTTCTCTCTTTCCTTTTCTTGCCTTCGTACATGCCTTTGGCTGTGCCTTTTACTTGGTACATACCTTTCCATACAACCCTTATCCTCCTTTCCTTCCTCTCTTCCCTTTCAATGCTCCAATGTCCATGTCTGCTGGACCACCGTCATTCCTCATGCATGGCGCAGTCAGATGTCTGCTATTGAGACAGCTAGGCAGCTAGACACAATCTCGGCGACTTCGCTGAATGTGTTGATGTTACGAACATTAAAAACGCAAACGCCGTCGCATTGGATCAGTCTTTTTTCTGCACAAACAGCGTGATCAGGTCATTGTCCAACGGTCTGCCAGTCGCCTTGTGACGATTCTTCAAGATGATGAAATCTCTCAAATCACTCTCCAGTTGATCACAGCTTGAACAAAAGGATGGCATTCTGGAGACTCGTGGCTCGTGCTGATTCAGGCATTGCAAACTGTCTGCGCAATCTTCCCCACGTCTCAAATCCATTCTGTGTCCTCACTTCGATTTATCGCCCAAGCGGCACCATCAGTGATCTGTGCCAGCATGCACGCCAAATGTCGCGAGGAGAACAATTGACTCAACTAACAGTTGGTCAGTTGGTTGTTTGTGCTCCAGTCTGCCGCACGTCAAAGGCTTCACTCAAGTCCTCAGCTTTCACACACTCTGCGAACCTTAGACATCATCCATCATTCGTTTCACAAGAGGCTTGTGCAATCCAACATACCGCTTCAATCGCCATGACCAGTCTTCCCATTTCTCCGGCTCACCGTGGTACACTGGTGGTGGGAAACATTCGATCTCGCCACCAGTTCCTCTCACTGCGAAGTCTGCCACCGTGCGAAATTCAACGATTGTGGCTCATCAAGCGCCACTCGACCAGGCCAGCTCCTCACAGTGTGACATTGTGGTACCACTCCACCATTTCGTCCAGGCGGACGACAGGATGTCATTCTTGGACACTCTGATGATGAACATGCTGCCATTTCATGCTGACGAGCATTCCCCCTGTGGGTGCTGATATGGCTGACATGATCAGTAAACTGATGATTAACGTACCGTAGTTGTCAAGCTTGATGCGCCAATTGACAGAGTTCTGCACCCATGTTCTCCTCGCGACAGTCATGTCTCGACTGCACGCGATGAACGCGACATTCTTCTCAAGCACTCATCATACACCCATCCGTGAAATCCTCCTTGGCATCGGGGAAGCTCTTCCTTTCCAGCTCCGACGATTCTTCAAGATGATTGAAATCACTCAGATCACTACCCAGTTGTTCACTTCTCAGCTTGAACGAAAGCATGGCATTCAGGAGCCTCGTGGCTTGCGCTCATTCAGGCGCTGCAAACTATCTGCGCAATCTTCCCCAAGTCTCAAATCCATTCTGTGTCCTCATTACGATTTATCGCCCAAGCGGCACCATCAGTGATCTGTGCCAGCATGCAAGCCAAATGTCGCGAGGAGAACAATTGACTCAATCAACAGTTGGTCAGTTGGTTCTTTGTGCTCCAGTCTGCCGCACGTCAAAGGCTTCGCTCAAGTCCTCAGCTTTCACACTCTCTGCGAACCTTCGACATCATCCATCATTCGCTTCACAAGGGGCTTGTGCAATCCAACATGCCGCTTCAATTGGCATGACCAGTCTTCCCGTTTCTCCGGCTCACCGTGGTACACTGGTGGTGGAAACAATTCGATCTCACCACCAATTCCTCTCACTCCGAAGTCCGCCACCGTGCGAAATTCAACGATTGTGGCTCATCAAGCGCCACTCGACCAGGCCAGCTCCACACAGTGTGGCATTGTGGTACCACTCCACCATTTCGTCCAGGCGGACGACAGGATGTCATTCTTGGACACTCTGATGATGAACATGCTGCCATTTCATGCTGACGAGCATTCCCCCTTTGGGTGCTGATATGGCTGACATGATCAGTAAACTCGCGACAATCATGTCTCGACTGCACGCGATGCCTTCTCAAGCACTCATCATACAGCCATCCGTGAAATCCTCCTTGGCATCGGGGAAGCTCTTCCTTTCCAGCTCCGACGATTCTTCAAGATGATTGAAATCACTCAGACCACTACCCAGTTGATCACTTCTCCGCTTGAACGAAAGGATGGCATTCAGGAGCCCCGTGGCTTGCGCTCATTCAGGCACCGCAAACCGTCTGGGAAATCTTCCCCAAGTCTCAAATCCATTCTGTGTCCTCATTTCGATTCATCGATCTGTATGCCGCTGCACCCCCTTCGCCGACGGCGGACACGGCGCGCCCCCAATGCCGCCTGCATGCCGCTGCACCCCCTGCGGCGGTGGTGGACACAGCGCGGCCCCTCATTAGCTACTATAGTAGCTAAAGCTATCTGGGGAAAATTTGAATACATAAACACATAAAAACTAGGTAAATAAATAAATATATATATATATATATAGTATACACACACACACACGGGTAACAAACAAACGATCCACTAACTTATGTGCTGCTTGCTAGCAGCAAGAGTATCCGATTTACTTCTGAAAAGTGCGAACCCAGGTGCATGCAGACCTGATCTGGGCAAGCCGGCAGGTCCATACAGGCACACTCACAAAGAAGCGAGCATATACATACGGGAACAGTCGCAGCACCATGCATCCGTCTAGCTCTGTCTGCATGGGTATGTACGTATGTCCGTTTTTGCGCAAGTAAGCGAAATTTGCATCTTACGCGTTATTCGGTATATTTACCTTCGATTGATCACAACTCTCAACAACTCACAACCACCCCAGACTCGCCCTCACTTGGGTCACACCCCTCCATCCCACTTGCAAGCTGCATCCCAGCCATCGAAAACCAGTAGCCCTCTTGAACTCCAAACGCCCCATCAGCCTATCTCTGAAACCGCGGCACCTAATGACACCTAGGCGGGCAGACATGAATGAACTGTCAAAACACCTGCGATGCCAGCCTTGAAACATCTTGAAACTTATACGACCTCGTGTTTCAGCGTCAGAAATCACCCCACCAAGGCGACGAGGTAGCGCAGCGGCTTCAGACGCTGTGCTAGGCAGACGCTCCGCATGATGTGGATCACCAGGATCTTGGTGGCTTTGGGCGAAAAAGGATTGAAGCTGAGGGCGATGCAGTTTTGGTGTAGGCGTCGAGGGCTCAGCTATGTTGTCTAGGCGACACAGTACTAGTGGGTCGGCCATCTGATGCTTAAGGCCTTCGCTCCAGACAAGGGCGAATTGCGAAGCATGTTGAAAGTACGCGCTCGTTCAGAAGTTCTGGGGCATGGAGATGGAGCGAGCATAGTGATACAATCCGAGTCTGTTGAAAACAAAGTGTCAGCGCCCAGGACTACATGCACGAAGCTAACCTAAAGTAAAGCAGTGCAAATACAAATGCACGTGTATATAAATATGTATATATATATATATATGATATATTGTTTATATTATTCACAAAATATACAAACACATGTATGCATGTACACATATATACACATGTATACAAGCAGGCATCCCTAGATGCAGACAGACAAACAAAAACAGACAAGGCGAGTGATAAGTAAATATTGAACACATCAAGATTATATATGTACATGCTCACAAGCATATATTTATACGTATATCTCATACATATGCATATGTATAGTAGTCAAGTAGACAAGCCGTAATGCATCTACCCTGGGAATCGGATATTGATCCTAATCAATAGAATGCATATGTTTTACATTGATATTGATTTGCTTGCTTTTTATTGATTAAATCAATGGGTCTCGTATTGGTCGACTTATTGATCTCCATATTGATTTCAAATCGCTATTTTCTGTTGATTTGAAAATTGATTTGGATATTGATTTGGGTATTGAATTCCGATTTCGTTTGAACATATCATTGTCTCTGATCAAACGCCTGTTTGATCAGAGTTAATCAGAGTTAATCAGAGGTTAATCAGAATTAATCAGAGTTAATCAGAATTAAGCAGAGTTAATCAGAGTTAATCAGAAATAATCAGAGTTAATCAGAGTTAAGCAGAACTGAGTTTATATCGATTTGAAGGCTTCATAAACCATGGAAATATATTGATTTGATGGCGAAAATAAGTATAATTTGATTTTGATTTTGAGGCTCGCTCTGAGGCGCCTTGAATCACAGAATAAATAATTGATTTGACACCAAAATCAATATGCGCTCAGCAGTATTGATTAGGATCAATAACCGATTCCCAGGGTATGTATAGATGTAGGTATGCACGTATGTAGGTAAGGATGCATGTAAAAATGTCTTGAGGCAAACAGAATCGCATTATGGCGAACAACAGTGGAAGACTTGCTTCTCCCGAAGTGAACCAGGGGTACACGACCTGCGTCCGACCCAGGGATGTCTTCTTTGCGATACTTGAGTCCAAGAGTCCGTGCGGACGAGATAGTCCGGTGCCTTCTGGTGACAACTGGAGTAAGCCTTGGTGGTCGGGAATGGCCAGCACAGTGCATGCTGCTGATTGCCTCGTCACTTCTGGCACCGCTGCAGGCAAGCTGCAGGCTGTGAGTAGTTGCGGCACAACGAACTCACAACAGCCCATGCAGTATCAACGCAATGAAAGCGCAAAAATTCATGTCTGCGCAGCTGGACGACAAGGCTCACAAGTGTCGATAAGTGTATGTTAATGTCACTCGCATATTCTACTGATCACAAAGTCAGCTTCCCGGTTCTTTCTGCCTCCCACCTAGCCCTAGCCGACCTAGCTCAACCGCCAAGGCAACCCAACCGAACATGCTTCAAACACAATGCAGCGCGTGTTCTGGGTGCGACGCGTGCTGAAGCCACAGTGCGATTGGGCATCTTGCGCTATCGCAGTGAAGCCATGGTCGTAG